AAACCAGATTGAAATGTCAGAGGGAAGTTGGAGCAAGGAATCATTTAAATCTCAGATAAATGCTGCCGTTTCTTATTTGATGTTTAGTACCAGCAGTTGTTATCCGATGCCCTACTAGAAAGTAGATTGGGCCAGAAATGCTAGTGGGTGGCAGGCTGAAACCCACTTCAGGAGTAGAAAATTATTACATTTAAGATTATTTTCAAGATTGTGAACTTCATATTGCAAGTTTACCCCTTATTCTTCCTGTGTTCCCTGCATTTTCCACAGCACCTGGCTTAGAGTTACTGTCTTAGTGTTCTTTTGCTATGAAGAGGCACCATGACCACAGGCAACTCTTATTAAAAGAAAGCCTTTTAACTGGGGCTGGCTTACAGCTTCAGAGTAGTCTGTTGTCAGTGTGGTAACTAGCATGGCAGCAGGCGGACTTGGTGCGGGAGAAGTAGCTGGAGTTTCAGCATCTGATCTGTAGGCAACACCCAGGAAGAGAGAGACTTTGGGCTTGGCATGCAAACTACCTCCATTGATACACTTTCTCCAAAGAGGCCACTCCTCCTAATCCTTTCAAATAGTGTCATTCCCTGGTGACCAAGCATTCAAATCCATGAGCCGATGGGGGCCATTCTCAGCCAAACCATTGCAGTGGGGATTTGTAGAATTTTACTACAAACACAGTCGTGGAACTTAGATTTCCAAGCCTCTTTCTATGGGAATATTGAAATTCTCTGACTCCTAAGCGCATGGAAGGGGAAATGTCCATAAAAATGCACGTATTCTAGCTTTTAGACTTTGATTGTGTGGGCAGAGATGGTTGAAGTGAGAACTATCTGATCACAATAAATGCAAAGCTTCTTAGGTTTTTATCAGATTTCTGTTTATTGTGAAGCAAAACTTGGATAGATTAAGTTGATTCAAGTACTATTAGAGGCTAGATGGGTACACTCTGGGACGGTGGCAGTTCACTCCCCCGAGGTGTTCTCTGGGTTTGGTCTCTCTTGACCTCCTAGCCTTTTCTCAGGTAGGAGGAGGAGGGTTCGGTAGGCAGTGTGCTACACTGGGTCTGACTGGTTCTCCCAGGCCCTCACCTCCAGCCCTTCTCACCTAGACTCAGCTCAGACAGAGGAGAAACTTCGTGAGGCAGTACTGCACGCCCTGCGCCGGACCACCTACCATTGGCAGAAGCTCAGGTAAGGACTTGTCCAGAGGGTACAGAGAAGAAGCGCTGAATTTGAGGAGAGCAGAGATGATGTCACCTTGTGTCTGAGAAAGCTCCCTGGAGTCTTCTGTGTTGGAAAGGGAAACCTAGGGGAGTCCCCTCCAAATTCTTCACCTCCTTGACTTTCGAGTCCCTGTGGGGTGGGTTTATTTCCTAGACTGATTTCTTTTTTCAGCTATAATGAAGAACTGAGTCTGATATACATGGCAGCAAGATTGGATGGTGCTTTCGCGGCAGTTTTCAGGGCGTTCCATGAGGTGAAAGTCTCAGCTTCCCACCTGACCCCTTTTATCATTAGGGGTTTTTTTTTTTTTTTTTTGGTTTTTCGAGACAGGGTTTCTCTGTGGTTTTGGAGCCTGTCCTGGAACTAGCTCTTGTAGACCAGGCTGGTCTCAAACTCACAGAGATCCGCCTGCCTCTGCCTCCCAAGTGCTGGGATTAAAGGCATGCGCCACCACCGCCCGGCTTTATCATCAGTTTATTGTCTGTAAATCAGTCTTTAGTCTTTTGTGATAGGAGTTCTTGGAATCTTATGAGCATGTTCATTTATCCTATGTATCTTTGGAAAAAAGATTCTGTGGGCTGAGAAAGGTTTAGAATCAGTGAGATGTTTCCTGTCTCAGAGATTTTTATTGACTCTTGGTCGTGCATGCATTCCCCCCTCCCTTCTGTCTCAGTCCCCTATCGTCACGCGGGTTCTTAGTGCTACCTTACCTTTCTCTGGGTGTTGTGTGTTTTCTTCAGATCCAGACTCGAGTTCCAGAGTTCCAGCCACAGACGCTGATGGACTTTGGATCCGGCACTGGTTCTGTTGCCTGGTAAATAACTTTCCTAACCCTTGGTCCAAGTCAGGTCCAATTCTAGGGAGTCAGATTTTCTATGTCACCTCATTATCAACAAACCGGGGTACCAGAGAGCAAGACCGTCAGATCTAGAGTGTTGCTGCCCTCAGATTAGCCAGGCAGAAGAAGGTGTTTGAGTTAGGGTCAGATTCAAAGAGTGACCCATGAAAAGGCCCAGTACTCAGGTCAGAAGAAAAAGCAATTTAGTGTAGGGAGTAGATTTTGCATACTGATCAAAATATTTTGTCTACAAGTCAGTGTTTGAATCATCTGCCATTTATTTCAGAAGTTGTAAATGCACTAATAAATAAAATAACACTGTTAGTTTATGTGTTCTGAGCCTGTCTGTAGGACTGAGAGCAGGTGAGTATGACCGTGTGTCAGAAGAATTGGTGGTGGTTTTTTATCTTCATCTCAGGGCTGCTCACAGCACTTGGGGCCAGAGCCTCCGTGAGTATGTGTGTGTGGACAGTTCAGCTGCCATGTTGGGTTTGGCTGAAAAGCTACTAAAAGGTAAGACCAAGCTCTAATCTAGGGATTTTTAAAAGTTGAAGGAGTTAGGAAAGTTTTTATTGGGATGTAGAGGAGAAAGATATAAATTATAATCTGAGCTCCTTCCATTATTACATTAGAGCAGTGTTAGAGGCCTTTGTGGGCTCTGGGTGGTTGGACGGGGTCAGCAGGCCACATTTTAAGGCTCCCTTACAGTCTTGCACCTCTCGGCTAGGGTTATCGTCTGAGGCATGTCTCCTAACTGAGCCAGCTTCTGGCTGTGAAGCTCATGTTCCCTCAGCTGCCATATCTTTCTCCCGTAGGTGGTTCAGAGTCAGGGAAGCCCTGTATCCCCGGTGTCTTCTTCAGACAGTTTCTACCTGTGTCACCGAAGGCAAGTAGGCTGTTCTCGGATAGTTGTGGTTTCAGCCTAGGCATCATGGTGCACACCTATAATCTCAGGACTCAGGAGCCGAGGCTAGAAGATTACCATTAATTCAGGTCTAACATGGGTTACATAATGAGATCTCTTGGGATCAGGGGAATTAGAGGATAGGAATTTTTTGTGCTTTGGGGGAGATGTCACGTCTGTTGTGTCCCTTGTCTTGGTCCTCAGGTCCAGTTTGATGTGGTGGTGTCAGCCTTCGCCCTCAGTGAACTGTCCAGCAAGGCTGACCGCACTGAGGTAGTTCGGAACTTGTGGCGTAAGACATGCCATTTTCTGGTAAGTTAGAGTTCTTTCTCCTCGGGTTTTAAAGCGGCGCTGTGGTTCTGTGCCTTGTCCTCTTGTTATCGCCTAGTGTTTCTCTTTTATAGATCTGTGCACTTCCTTAGGGTCACAGTGCCCACTTCCCTGCCTGACGGAGTTACTGGCATTGTTTCGTGGGATTCAGAGTGCCTGCTCATTGTCTCTGTTTTTAACAGGTGTTGGTAGAGAACGGAACAAAAGCTGGGCACCGTCTGCTCATGGAGGCCAGGAGCCTGGTGCTCCAGGTGAGGTTACTTATCCTCAGGTTCTCCACCTTTGTGTCGTAAGTTATTGTTGCACATTTGTAGTGGTGACTGTGTTCACACTGCAGACTGCACGAGAGCCCCAGGCAGGTGCCGCTCGCTCCTCACTCCTTTTCCTACTTTGCTGACCCCTGATTGAAGGTGTTGCTGACCCAGAACCTCAGTGAAACCGTGTGAGCCAGTACAGCATCCTAAATTTACCTGTGGGAGAATACAGTGCCAGGTCCCTCTGCCTTTCTGCTGCAGTGAAGACAAGTCTGTTGTTTAGCACCTTAGAGCTGTAGCCAGCTTAACTCAGTGAGCATGGTTTGTCAGTATGAGGATTATTCTGAGGAGTCCTCAGTTCTCCACCTGCAGAGGTTGGATTTTGGCAATAGATCCCACAGGGTCGGCTGTGTTTCCTTGATTGCAGGAAAAAGAGAAGTCCCCTTTGGATCTTCAGCCTGGCTTTGTCTTTGCCCCAGTAAGTACCACTTCCTCCTGTTCTGTCGCTCCAGAAGGGTGCTGCTCAGCCACTCTCCCCTCCTTTGTCTTTCCCGTGATTGCCACTGCTTTCCCAACCCTCTTCCTGTGTCTCCCTTCTTCCTGGCCTTTTCAGTGTGTGTATGATGTGGGGCACATGTGCATGCTGTAGCGTGCTCGTGGAGGTCAGAGGACAGCTTCAGGAGTCTGTCTCTGCTTCTCTGTGGATTTAGGGGACCAAAGTCAAGCCATGAGGTTATGCAACAAGCCCTCCTCGGTCCCAGCATCACTGAGAGTCTCTTGTGTATTTGCAGTGTCCCCATGAGCTCCCTTGTCCTCAGCTGACAGCCTCCAAGCCCCTGGCCTGTAGCTTCTCCCAGGCTTATCATCCTATCCCCTTCAGCTGGGTATGTATTCTCAGAGTTATAACGAGAACAGCCTGGGAAAACAGGATGGATTAATAGATGGATAGCTGGGGGTTGAGGAGTGGGAAGAGCTGGAGAATTCCTGGGGTAACCTGGAGCTCTGTGTGATTTCCAGACTATGAGAAAGGACTTCAGGCATGTAAGGGGAAGGGAGCGAAAGGATCCGTTCCCTCTAAACAGCCCCTGTATTGTTTCAGAATAAGAAGCCGAAAGAGGAAACATTCTCTATGGTAATCCTTGCCAGGGGTTCTCCAAAGGAGGCTCATCGCTGGCCCCGTGTCACTCAGCCTGTCCTTAAACAGCCTCGCCATGTGCACTGCCACCTCTGCTGTCCAGACGGGCACATGCAGCATGCTGTGGTCACAGCCCGGCGGCATGGCAGGTACCGGCGACGTGAACAGCTGGGGAAATATAACAGGAAGCTGCAGCCCCTGTTAATGCCTCTCTCCTGGCCTCAGGGATTTGTATCGCTGTGCCCGCGTCAGCTCCTGGGGAGACCTTTTACCTGTGGTTGCTCCATCCCCTGCTGAAGAGCCCACGGAGAGTTGACAAGGATGTGGATGCAGATGTAACAAGTGTTTCCTTCCATCACACCTGCCAAGGCCGAGGCTACCTGGTGTCCAGGAAGACAGTGCTGGTACCCTGTGCTTGTTGTTTGAAATTTTAATAATAAATTTGTTAAGAACAGACATGGATGTCATGACTTTTAAAGATGTGGGGTCAGTTGTCCTGGCCTGTCAGCGATGAAGAGAATGCTGAGATCTCTGGAGTGAGATCCACTGCTTCTACCAGAGACTTCCTTGAAAGATGGCTAGGGTTGTGGGGAAAGACACCTCAGGCCCTGTGGGAACTGGCTCAGCAGGTCCCAACTGGTGCTTATGGTGTTTATGTGGGCCTCTGAAGTGGGAACTAGCAGTTAGCTGACTTCTTTACCCATCTCTGTCTCTGCCGAGGTAACCTTGTCTGGAGTTGGCCTGCATTTCCCTCAAGGCTGGTCCCATCTCCAGCCTTATCTAGATCTACTTAGAGTGCTTCTGTTTATTTGGTTTGCTTCCATTTTCCTGTTTCCTTTCTAGAACAACCTTGGTTCCCAGCAGGAAATGGTAACAAACCTTCAGACCCACCCGGAAGGCAGGCAGGGCCACTCACTCGGGGATTCCGACCTAGAAAGGGAAAGGGGCAAGCTGGTAACTTACGGGTTTTGATGAAAATCAAGGTTCTTGGATTCCTTGGCACCAATGGACAGCTGGTGGAGCATTGAGCAATCCGAGGTTCTGCACACCAAGCTTGTAAACTGCCCTGTATGATCGCAATGACAAGCTTGACAGTTGGTAATTATAGGAAGAGCAGCAAGGACATGGCACAACTTATCTTGACCAAAAGGAAGAAGGTGCCCTACCTGGGCTTTGTGTTTGTTTGAAGTTTGTGGGTTTCTTTAAACTTTAGAGAAAGAGAAGCGTTTAAGCTTTTGTAAGAGAAAAAAACAGATAACGATTTCACTTCATTACAGAAATGGCAGTCAGAAGCCGTGACAGGTGGGGCATGGTGGCCCATGCCTCTAATCACAGCGCAGAAGCAGAGGCGGGAAAAGTTTCTATGAGTTTATCAAGGCCAGCCTGGTGTACATATAGTTCCAGGCTAGCCAGGGCTACACAATGAGACCCTGTCTCCCCCCCCCCCCCCCCCCAAAGTGACAGTATCTTTGTTGTGACACCAGGAATCTCCACACACGCCCCTGGAAATTTCCGTGCCTGGAGCTATTTTTCTGGAATTAGAGGAAAGGGGAATCCCTTCACTTGCTAATTCCCACAGAAGAGAAGCAGCCCTGCTCAGCCCCACCCCCTCTACCCTCAAGTGGCCCCAAATCCTCTCTGAAAGGGTTCAGTTCAAGTATCAGCATAGGAACCTGTGTGGCTTGGGACAGGGTGAGAGTGTGGAAGGCACAGGTTAAGTGTCCTGACGGTGGCGCGGCCAGCTTACCCCACACACACATTAGCTGGGCCTTAAGTACCGTGGATGGTCCCATTTGAGGTTAGATCAACCCCAGACATGAACTAAGGCTCCCCAGAGCTCTTGGATTAGTCACAGCATTGAAGAGCTACACCTGGCAGGGAGTCTGGAGTTTCTGGTTTGGAAGCTCAGGAAGGCGTGAGGCAGGGGAGGGGCCTCCAGATAGTGGGAGGGCTGGTGGCTGGGGCTGAGCCCTGGTCTGCTGTGCAGCACACAGACCGTCCAGGAGTCCAGGACAAAGAGGATATCCACAGTCTCCTGGAATTCACTCAAGGCAGCGCTCCACTGTGGTCGCCTCAGCCGCTGCATTCGTCATTCTGAGGCCTCTGCTCATCCTGCACCCCAAAGATGGAGGTACTGCTTGGAGTGAAAATTGGCTGCCTGCTTGCCCTTCTGGTTCTCACCCTGGGCTGTGGCCTTGCTCCCATCTACTTCAGATGGTTCCAGATGGATGCAGCTACAGGTAGAGCCCCACTCCGTCTCTGTGCCTTGCACCCAGGCTTATCTCAGACCTTCCTCACACCTGGCTCTGGTTCTCCCGTCCCCCGAGACCTTGGGTGCTGCCCGTTGCCCTTCATTCATTCCCACTTATCTCACTGCTAAGTGGAGAATAACCTTTGCTTTTAGGTCGTCACTACAGAGTTCTCAGCCTCCTGGGCTGCATCTCTGCCGGTGTCTTTCTGGGAGCAGGGTTGATGCATATGACTGCTGAAGCCCTGGAGGGAATTGAATCAGAAATTCAGAAATTCGTGGTGCAGGTGGGTAGCGGGGAACCGTGTGACCAGGCTATGGGGAAGAAAGCGGGAAAGCAGAGGAGTGCCCTGTGGGTGAGCAGCAGCTGGGGGAAGATGGTCAGCTTGGGCTTCCAAGGGAAGCGTGATTGCTGAAAGGGCAGGACAGGAACTAGCACTGCCTAGACTCGGTCTGATTTCTGGTTCTGTCTCCCTAGAACAGTACAGGAAGTACAGGCAACTCTTCTCGTGATGCTGCTTCCGGTTATGTACGTATCTACTGTTAGCGCCTGTCGGGAGAGTGAGGAACCAGGAATCTCTTCCCTCAGCTCAAGCTTAAAGCTAGAGGGCGACAACTAACCCTCTGCTTGTAGACCCTAAGGAAAAGCTCTTGCTTCCCTTCCTACCCTGGACCTTTATTTCTAACCCAAGTGACACTTTGTCCCTCCGCCCCTCTAGGCTTCTCTTTTGCGTGCCTGCTCGGCCTCGTTCCCTTGTGTTGTTACCACATTTCCCATTCTTGTCTCTCTCCTGGCCCATCAAGTGCTTCATCTCCTTCCCTCTTTTTGTTCCTAGGTGGAGTATCCCTATGGAGAGCTCGTCATCTCGCTGGGCTTTTTCTTCGTCTTCCTTCTGGAGTCGCTGGCATTGCAGTACTGCCAAGGGGATGCTGAAGGATCGACGGTGCGGGAAGAGGAATGGGGAGGGACTCATGCCTTTGGATTCCACAAGCACCCTCCGGTGCCCTCGCCGTCGCAGGGTCCCCTCCGCGCCCTCGTCCTTCTGATCTCTCTGTCCTTTCACTCCGTGTTCGAAGGCCTGGCCGTAGGCCTGCAGACCACAGTGGCGGCCACTGTGAAGCTCTGTGTGGCCGTCTTGGCGCACAAGGGGCTTGTGGTGTTCAGCGTAGGCCTGCGGCTGCTGAAGGTCGGCGCCGGCTCATGGTGGGCCACATTCTGCATACTGTCATTAGCACTCATGTCTCCCGTGGGCCTGGCCCTAGGGCTGACCGTGGCTGGAGCGGCCTCAGGACCAGGGCAGGGATTAGCCCAGGCTGTATTAGAAGGAGTAGCAGCCGGCACGTTCCTGTATGTCACCTTCCTAGAAATCCTGCCCCGGGAGCTGGCTTGTCCCGAGGCCCCTCTGGTCAAGTGTGGCTGTGTGGCTGCTGGTTTTGCCTTCATGGCTCTTATTGCCTTGTGGGCCTGAAAGCTTCCTCACTGCTTTGTGGGCCTTTGAGGACACCGCCCGAATGACTTTGGACCTCAGACATCTTTTCAGTGAGGCTAAGCATTTACTAGGCAGGGACTATTCCAGATTTTATATACGTGAGATCCTATTCTTGATAAAGACTTAGAAAGGATGTTTGTTTGAGTGCCCATTTAGCTGGGGAATTGGTATCAAGACCACCACCCCAGAGTTGCCATTCTGTGTAATAAAATGTCCTTTTGCCCCTTCCCTCCAATCACATTGTAATCCATGTCTCTGAGAGGGAAAAAGGGGTAAGGATGGGATTGAGACGCTCGGTCGTTTTAGTGGTTACAGGCCATTGTTGCCTTACCCATGGGAGCTGAGAAACAGAACAGCATTTAGAGGGGAAAGGATGTTTAAAAGCAGGAAACGGGCTAGATATTTTTCCTTCACTCCCTGCCTCCCCACTCTCAGTGCCTGCCTGTCCCCGCCAGTCCCTGCTTTTACGTGGAGTCTTGTGTAGCCTCGGGGACACCATTGCTGTCCTCTGAGTGTCTCTCTTTCTGGCTGCCACAGGCTGAGGGATTAAAAACCAGTGTTTGCAGAGGGGGCCTGGCGCCAGATAAATACCAAGGGTGATCACTCTGAGGTGAACCACCGGGTGGCTTTCCTTCTGCCTGCCTGACCAACTGCGTGAGGAGTGGGGCAGCTGCTCCCCTGCCTAACAGAGGGCACTCCTGATTCCCACACTTGGTGAAGAAGTAAGGCAGGGAAGATGTGCCCTGGAGCCCACTCGCCCTCACCAGTGTGATAGCCCAACAGCCTTAGCATGAACAAACTCTTGAATCATTCTTGCCTGGGTCTTTGTCTCCTTCCCGCCATAGTCCCCTCCTGAAGCAGTAAGCAGTCTAAATCTGATCTCCACAAGACACCGTGAGGAAGCAATGGGCGGGCAGAAACAGGACTGGGGAGGTATTCTCCCTGGAGTGGGGAAAGTATTCTCCCAGGAGTGGGGGGAGTATTCTCCCAGGAGCGGGGGGGGGAGTATTTTCCCAGGAGGGGGGGGGATATTCTCCCAGGATTGGGGGGGGGATATTCTCCCAAGAGTGTGGGGGATATTCTCTCAGGAGTGTGTGGGGTATTCTCCCTGGAGTGTGGGGGTTTTCTCCCAGGAGTGGGGGGGATATTCTCCCAGGAGTGGGGGGATATTCTCCCTGGAGTGGGGGCGGTATTCTCCCAGGAGTGGGGGGAGTAAGGTATGCAGGAGAACCTGGAGTGTGCCAATGACACGGACTTGGGCAGGAACACCTGCGCGTGACAGGTGCTGTGCTGCTCTTTGTACACACATCACCTCTCTTGCACAACCCCGGCAGCGGCATGATCCCTGTAGTAACCTAGGAAAACTGGCATTCAGAAAAGGTGGAAAGTTAGATCCCTTAGCCAGTGGGGCCTCAAAAGTGCACAGAAAGCTCCGTATCGCGTCTTTCCCTGTGTTTCCTTCCCAAACACTCCTGCTCAGCCCGTGTGTTAGAATCCCAGATCAGCTCCGCGAGGGGAGGCAGCATGGGAGGATATTCAGCAAGGTGTGTGTGGGCAGGGTTCAGACAAAGCCGGGAAGCTGAGTAATCAGCCTGCCCTTAGTAGGAACTGGAAAGGACCAGCCCGAGAGCTGTGTCCTTCAGGGACCCAACCAGGAAGGTGCTAACATAATCTTATTTTTCTTGCTCTGATTTGCTAATGGCCTATTGAGTAAAACCAACTAGAAGCCTGAGGCTAGAAAAGGTTGTAGACCGGTCAAGTCAAGCCATGGGACAAAATGCTGTCAGGCAGGACTTCCCCGCCCTGCCTGCTATGTTTAGGGTAACAGGGTCTTGCCAGAACTTTGGCGGGGTAAGCTGAAAGAGCAGTGGTTATATGGAAGCTAGAGAGTTATCCTATCACAGAAACCTGTCTACCTAGGAAAGGAACCTGAAGGAGAAGCCCCCTGGCCTGCTGTGACTCTTCCTTCACCATCAGCTCTTGAGGCAGAGGAGGTAAGTTTGGGATCTCAAGTTCCTGGTGAGTCGTGAACTCTGTCCTCATCCATCCCAGGAATTCCCTCCAGAGCCACCAGCACTTCTCTCCACATCTGGTTCCTTCTTTTCTCCCCCAAATTCTTACGAACCAGGGCCAGACATGTGTTCAGTTTGAGAATATTATGTCAAGAGCAGACATAAAGCTGGAGGGTGGCCCCATCTGGAGAACACCAGGAGAGCGTCTGGACCGGAAGGACAAATGGAAACAGCATGGAGTAGGAGCCAGCATGAGAACCATGATGGGAAAGAAGGGAGGCCTCTGCGGGCGGCGGTTGCAGCCGTGAGAAGGCCGAGTGAAGAGGAAAGATGATCCGGGCTGGTGGGTAATCAGGAATGTGTGCGTGACAATTTTACATCTTCCAGTGGGGATGTGAAACAGAGGAAGTTTTCTCTAGGGCCACATAGGAGTGGCTATGGCCCAGAGAAGATTGAGAAGATGGCCCCACATCCCACGCTCCACCATGATGGCAGCTTTGAGGTTTGTAGTTGCTTTCCTTTGGGTCAGGTGGTTTGTTTTGTTTGTTTGTTTTTGTTTGTAGGACTTTTGGTTTTTGGTGTTTGTTGATGTTTTGGTTTGGATTAGTTTTTGTTCGTCTTTAGTCAGAGACTCTCTATGTAGCCTTTGCTAGCCTGGAACTCACTATGTAGACCAGGCTGGCCTCAAACTCCAAGAGATCCACCCCCCTCTGCCTTCTAAATACTGGATTAAAGGTGTGCAAAGCCACGCCCAGCATTCACCATCACAGGCCTAGGGTGCCGTCTGATGACTGTCTTAGTTTTCAGGGTTAATGAAAGTGATCTATTAATTCATCCCAAAAGATTTTACTGGGTAGTCAGAAAGATGAAGTGTGAATGGCGAAGTGTGAATGGCTATCTAGGGGGCTAAAGACAGCCAAAATACACTGCCATTCAGCACCAGACCTGCAGCATCCCAGCTTCTCCACAATCATTTAAGTTCTAGCCAGTCAGTCCACCACCCTTGGAGAAGGTCAAATGTGTGAACTTCTTTCTAGAAACATTAGCCCACACCCCACCCGTCACTGTCCCCATTTCTCACGGTCACTCCCTCGTATATTTTGTATATACCTAGGAAGAGAACTCAAGAATTACCCTTCCTCCGGCTGACCTCCTGCAGAGAGCCAGCTTCCTATTTCTGCTACCAACACGCCGCCACTGTCTTCTGAAGTAAAAACTTTCTGGGAGATGTCCTGCTCTGCTCAGCTTTGCGGCTGGGAGATAGGTTTAGTGTTGCAGTCACAAGAAGAGAACTTGTGAAGAACACAAGAGAAAGCAGAAGTTCAGAGAATTTCCTGGGGCATTGCAGGCCATCGGTCTCTCAGTGTCCATGAGGGTTTGGGTTTGCTCCCCAGTGCCACAGGAAGAGGGGGTGAGCTAAGGCCCCAGACTCACTCTGCTGGGGTAGCCTGGGCCTCCGTCCTTCCCTGAAGTTCTGGAGTGTCTTGTCACTCACAACAGAAGATGGTCTCTTGTTCTTCGATACAATGAACAGTGGTCAGAACTTAGTGGGACAGGATGTGAGTGGACGCCTTCTAGTTTTCTGGTGACCTGAGGATATCCCAGTGTTCCTCATTGGTAGTCTGTGGGGATGCTCACAAAATCCTGGCTATAGGATAAATGTCTGGTTTGCGGTTTTGGTGACTTGCCCTTGAATGTCAAGTACAAAGTGCGTCCTACATTTCCTCCTCACTCATTATTAGAGTCTGATGGCAGAGATCTGGTAAGCTGCATTTCCCCACCAACCCCAAGCCTCAAGTCAGAAGTCCCTCGTCTTTTCCAGTTGTTCCTAAATCTACTTTTTTAAAGTGATGTCTCCCACATCATTTCCCCTGATCATGTTTGGGTTTTTTTGTTTCATTTTGTTTTGTTTTTGGTTATTCGAGACAAGATTTTTCTGTGTAACAGCCCTGGCTTCCTGGAACTAGCTCTTATAGACCAGGCTGGCCTTGAACACAGAGATCCTCCTGTCTCTGCCTCCCGAGTGCTGGGATTGAAGGTGTGCGCCACCAGACTATAGGGCTCTTTTTCACTCCTTTCTTCTGACTTCTCATTCTCATTGAGTAGTTCTTACCTTACCTGCCCCTGATATCTGGGGTACACTGACATTCCTTGGGAATAAAACAAGATTCAAACAGGATCTTAATCCTGAAGAGGAGAAAGTAAGCAGGGAGTTTGTGACTCTGCTTCTGTCAAACTGTACTGCACCCCTGAGGAACTGTGACAGGGAAACCTAGGCCAGGTAGTTATTTGCTTACCACAGGGGGGCACTGTGTCTCCATGGGTGAACTAGAGTATGTCACGCCAAAAAAAAAAGGGGGGGGTCAATCTAGGACAGCAAATGCCCTCCCCACCCCCAGTCCCTCCAGAAACATCTATAGTTGTATTCAAATACATATACACTTAAATGAAATTTGTTCCCAGTTGTGAAAATTACTCTGCTAACAATATGACCTCTGTAGGCAGATTCTAAGCAAAGTTTGTCTTCCCTTCCATAATAACAACAGCAGCTACACCAGCAGAGACTGGTGGAAACCCCAGTTCTTAGCTTTCTCCTCAGTTTTGCCCCCAGTGGCTATAGCAATACTCTGTTTTTCTTCAGTTTGGCATTTTAGCAGTGTTTGTTGCCTAACCCAACATCCACCCGACAGCTAACTATAACCCACTAACACCCTCTTCTGGCACTGGCCTGCATCTAGATGGGGTTAGGACTAGTGCCAGAGCTCAGTGGTAGGGCACTTGCCTAGCATGTACAAGGTCCTGGGTTCAATCCCCAGCACGAGAAAGGAAAGGAAAGTAACACCAGCATCAAGGCCATAAGCCTGTCTCACTACCACGCCTGAATGTGGCCCTTGATGCCACAGGGCTCAGTCTACCACTCAGAGCTATGGAGGAAATAGCACAATTAAGGTTTCCATGAAGCAAACTTTAACAACCCCATAATATTCTATCTACATTGTTCCAAAAAGGACTTTCTCATTTTCACTTGTGCACGTCTGTGTGTGCTGTGGCGTGACCCTAAGTGTTCATGTATGTACATCCTTGTGTGGCGGCCAGAGGGAGACTGAGCATATCCCTCCATCGCTCTACACCTAATTTTTTTCTTTTCTCGAGACAGGGTTTCTCTATTTTTGGTGCCTGTCCCGGAACTAGCTCTTGTAGACCAGGCTAGCCTCAAACTCACAGAGATCCGCCTGTCTCTGCCTCCAGAGTGCTGGGATTAAATGCATGCGCCACCACCGCCCGGCTCTGCACCTCATTTTTTGAGACTGGGTGTTGTCTAGCACAACCCTCTAAATGAAACAGCCACCATCGTCATGCCTGTCTGCAAAAGATCTTCATAGCTAGGCTTGCTGACACAAAGGAAGGACGCAGCTTACTGAACCCTCCCTACCACTCCTCCCACCCATCTCAGGCCGTGGACTCAGAGAGGAGCAAGAGTATACAGCTTGGGAAGACTAGGAGTGAGTTCCACCTGAACAGCAATGGAGAATCATCACCTTTATGAGAAGCAGACCTTCCAGTGTGCCTGCCTTAAGGTCACCCACAATCTCTTTAATTGGTTTCCCAGAGTGCACTTCGGTTTGTCATTGGGGGGCTAGTTCCATTGCTTGGTTCTAAACCCTCAGAAAGAAAATTCTCCCAGCACTCGGTCCCAATTGACACTGCTGCCCACTGATTGGCTAGCCTGGCCAGGCAGTGAGCCAAGTAGTTTAACTCCCAGATCCCCCAATTCTGCCAGTGAATAAAAGGCCTAGAGCCCTTGGAGGGTAAAAGAGGGTGTTGGATCCCCTGAAACTATAAGGATGCTAGCAGTGAGCTGCCATATGGGCTAGGAATTGAACCCAGGTCCCCCGAAGAGTAACTAGTGCTCCTAACCACTGAGCCATCTTCCCAGCCCTTCAGTCAGCTCTCTTTCTTTTAATATTTATTTATTTATTATGTGTATAATATCCTGTCTGTGTGTATGCCTGCCGGCCAGAAGAGGGCACCAGGCCCCATTACAGATGGTTGTGAGCCACCATGTGGTTGCTGGAAATTGAACTCAGGACCTTTGGAAGAGGAGGCAATGCTCTTAACCACTGAGCCATCTCTCCAGCCCCCAGTCAGCTTTCTTGAAGAACACGATATTGATGACATCTCTGAAGTCCTAGTCTTCCTCGAGGACCCACAAATGATAAGCAAGTCCCCTGAAATCTACACCAGTTCTCTTTCCCAAGCTTACACACATTGTTAATAGAAAGAGCAATACCATGTTTCTCAGATCCCATGCTCACAGACTGCACAAACCACCCCCCGGGTTATAGCACTTGGAGGGGAACAAGGAGGGGGCAGGGAAGGGTGGGATGCAGGCACATCCAGACCAGGTTAATAACGGTTTCCTCTGTAGTTTATTGTCACCGCAGACGTTGTGGGAGACAGGAGGTCACGCTCTACACACAACAGTACGGTCAGAGCCGCGGCAGCCCTTCCCACCCTGATGCCAAGCCCCAAGCAGTCTGGCCTGAGCTCTCTCCCCTAGGTGTGCACTGATAGCTACGGAAGTTAGTGCAGCCACATGGCCAGGCCCGCTCTGCTGCCCCAGCTCCCATCCTTCCACCACTATTCTTCACGTCCACCATTTCCCATTCTTACTTCCTTTTTATGTGCTGGATATTTCTGTCACATTTTAAGAACCACTGGCACACCAGCAAGCCTCCCCCAAAAGACAATCACTTAAGCCCATTGCCTTCAAAGGCCTGAAGAGTCAAGGCAAAGCCACTGCCAGCTTTGGGGAATGGAGTGCCCATCTCCCACCCTTCACACACACACACACACACACCAACTCTCTACCCTTGCAAAGAAGGGATACAGAGGGGGAGTGATGGGGGCCACGGCAGCTGTAACAGCTTCTGATTTCTCACCTACAGACACCTGGGTCAGGGAGAGAAGACACGAGACTTCTCAACACCAACATGGGAGAGGGGATAATTTAGGGGCCTGGATCTCTAAGAGATATTAGGACATCCCTCCTAGGAGCTAGAGGAAATCACAGGTTAAAGGTCAGGGTTAGGGTAGCAATTAAAGATCAAAGTCATCTCTCTGCATGATCTGCCCATCTTCCTTCTTACTCTGGCCCAACGCCCCACTACACCTCCCGGGTTAGCGCTGTGGGAGGTGAGGCTGGGTTCCACACCAGGGCCACGAGGGTCATTCAACAGGAGACCTCCATGGTGTGCCCCGGGGGTGCAGATGGCAGAGTCCCAGACTCGCTGCTCTGTGACAGGGTGCGGGAACGGGACCGGCTGCCATCAATGGAGGCCGCACTGGTCAGTGAAGCTGTACGAGACCGAGACAGGCGGGTCATGCAGGATGAGGCCACTGTGGAAACAGAGTGATGAGCCAGCCATCGACTGAGAGACGGGGAGTTCCAGAGTCAGCCTCCAACAGGTCCGCCCTCATCATGACCCCCTTTTCCCCTCTGCCCCAGTACTCACTGTAGCCCATGCCCTGCAGGAAGTACTTGAAAGCCTCAGTCAGCTTGCCTGGCTGTGGGCATATCACAAGGGAAGGGGACAGTCAGAGAGATAGGGATCGATACCAGGAAAGCCCAGCAACAGAGCACAGATGAAGGACACTGATAAATCCCACTTCCCCATCCCATGGGTGGCAGGACACTCACCTGTGTCAGCTGCGGCTGGCCTCCAGAGTCAGCCATCTGCTCAGGAAAGGACACAGGGCTGCATGAGATGATCCAGGCAGAGGGAAAGGGGCCCTGTCCTACCAGCTCCCTCGATTAGTCCCTTTGTTCTGCTCTTCTGACCCACAATGAACCCGCAAGGCTTAGACGCTGGAATTTGGAGTACGTGTGGTCCTGGACAGGCTTGGAGGAGGACTACTGACCTTGAGGAAGGAGGTCTGCGTGGGGTCCAGCTTGGAGTTACATTCCACCTGGAATAAGTAGGGGCAGAAGGAATGAGCTGCCCTCCGCACAGCCCTTCCCCTCCGAGAGACCCTGTTCTTTTCCATTTCTTTGTCAGCCCCCTACCCAATAATTTTTTTTCTTTTGGTTTTTCAAGACAGGGTTTCAGTGTGTAGCTCTGGCTGTCCTGGAATTCACTTTGTAGACCAGGCTGGCCTCAAACTCACAGAGACCCACCTGCTTCTAACTCCCAAGTGCTGGCAGGCGCCACCACCACCCAGCTCCAATTGTGTCTTAACAGAAATAAAACTTCCTAAATTTGCTCCGCCAGTCCCAGAGTTTGCCCCTTAGCAAGATCCACTTCTGACCGCAACATTCCCTCACTGCCCTGAAAGTCGCTACTGACCACAGCATCTTCGTGGGGTGCCTGGTCTCCGACCACCAGCATTACAGGGCACCTAGAGGCACAGGGTGGGGGGGGGGAGGCAGTGAGCCCTGCCCTTCCTCACACACCACTTCCCACAGCCGCCTTTCTCCTGCTGACTCAGCAAGAGCACCCAAAGGGGCAGGCCCAAAGGGAGGCAGCCTGCTGCACAGAATGGAGTTAGAGGCAGGTAAGTTCTCTACAAGGGTTAGAGGTGCTGGTACCAAGGGACAGTCCAGGGACAGGGCAAAGCGGTATCTGCCAAAGTCTTACTTGAGGGTCATCTCGCCACCTCGCTCAAAGTTCAGGTCTCGGCGGCTGGAGAGGGTTCAAAGAGAAGTTGTTTTTGACAGGTAATGTTGTCTATCTAGATAAGCTACCTCCTCCACAGGAAGCTAGCTCTCCTTTTTATAGTCAACTGTTAGTGATGAAAAGTAAACACCAGGGCCTGGGGTTGCAGCTTGCTGGTAGAGTACCTGCTTAGCATCTATGAGGGGAGACCACAGAAGATGGCAGGGACATGCCAAAAGCACCCCACCCCACCAATAATCATTTGTGCCCTAGATCTCTGGTCAGAGGCACCTAAGGGTGAGGAAGGGCACAAGTACGAGAAATTCTGGGCTGGAGAGGTGGCTCAGTGGCTAAGAGCACAGGCTGCCCTTCCAGGAGACCCAGATTCAATTCCCAGCATCCACACGGCAGCTCACACCTGTTCGAGGGAATCTGACACGCTGCACACGGAACCCTGCCTGCGCTGCACGCTGCACACAGACCCTGCCCCACACGCTGCACATGGAACCCTGCCTGCCCCACACGCTGTACACAGACCCTGCCTGCACGCTGCACACAGACCCTGCCTGCACGCTGCACACGGAACCCTGCCTGCTCCACACGCTGCACACGGAACCCTGCCTGCACCACACGCTGCACACAGACCCTGCCCACCCCACACGCTGTACACGGAACCCTCTCTCCAGTTCCATCTCCTCTCCACAGCTCACTCACTTGTTGTAACTGTTCCAATACAGTTCAATGTTCTCCAGGTTAGGTGCATGAGTGATGATATTTCTATACTTTTGTATCAATTCAGAATTTCCAGAAAGCTCTTCCTGAAGCACAGAAGAGGTAAAGCAGGGTTAGAAAAGGAAGTTGACAATGACTAAATTATCTCCACACCCCAGATCCTATCCCAGCTAAGGAAGTCACCCCAAAGCGTTCAAGTCCTGGCTGGTCACTTCTACTTCTGCCTTCCACGGCCCCTTACCTGGCTGAAGAGATGCCCAAGGATCATCTCCGGAATGGAAGAGGTAAGGCCGGTCAGCTGCAAGGGCAGGTGAACAAGTTCAAGATGTTGTGGGGAAAGAGACCAGGCAAAGCAACTCAGCTTCGTCTCTTACACCCTCCTTGAAAGTCTGAGCCTGTTCAGTTACACTGGTAGTGTCCCCACCCTGGATACCAGATCGCAAGCCTCTCCAAACCTTGTGGGCTGCCCAATCCATCCAGCCCTTGGCATTGGGATCAATGTTGATGAGAACGAGCCCTTCGACTGTGTCCGGGTGGGTCAACTGAGGGAAGACAGCAAGATCAGGAGCAGCCACTCCTGCTCTCTCCCCTGCTCCCTATTTCCTTCCAAAAGGCTGGAATTCAGGGATATGCACCATGCCTACAGTAGTCTGTCTACCGTGGGGTGCCTCCACCCCCAGTCTTACAGCATATCGTGAGAGGATGTAGGCTCCAGCTCCAACACCAACTCCAATTATCGTAGAGAAACTGTGAAAGAGAAACGTACGTGTCATAGACTCTGGCAGCCCAAACTTGCCACAGCCCGGTCTCTTCAAACTCCTCACCATCCTCCCTGAGGTCACAGCCACAAAAAAGGACAACAAAGGTTTTTCTTTTGGGGCCCCAAGAACTCCTGTGCTTAGTGTAGCTCCCTGAAGTCTATGCTCAGTTTCCTCTCAGAGAACTAGTGTCGTGAAAAGAAACACACATCTCTTCCTACACACACAGCTCATTCATTCTCAATTCATTCTCAATCAACAAGTTCAAACTTGTTCTGAGCCCTGGTTCCTGAGCAACAAGAACTAAGGACCTTAAAGCAAAATATTGAACAGGTGTGATATCAGTGAACAGAAAGAATGGAGAAGACGGGCAAGGAAGTAATCCAGAGTTACTGAGAGCCAGGGTGTTCAGGAAATGCTAAGCCAAGGAGCCCAGGAATCAGGCCAGCAAGATGGCTCAGCAGTCAAGAGCACTTACTACTCTTGCTTAGGACCCAGACTGTATTTCCAGCACCTACATGGTGGTTCACAAGAATCTATAACTCAAGTTCCAGGAATTCCAATGTCCTTTTCTGGCCCCTGTGAGCACCAGTCATGTGGGTACTCATACAGACATGTAGGAGGCAAACACTCATACACATAAAGTAAAAATAAATAAATCTGAGAGAGAGCGAACACCCTTTCTCTTCAGCATCTTCCTCTGCTGGCCGGAGGGCCCTTGTGAGGCTGATCTTCCAACCCACTAACACCTGACTCCCAGTGTACCAAATGTGACTAAGGAAGACAGGAATGGGGACCAAGACGGGTCTATCTAGTTCCTTGGGGATGAGATCATCTGTACCTCTCCTTACCTAACTCCCAGATCAGAGAAGCTGCCCCCAAGCCTAGACAGGGCTCAGTATAAACCCTTTCACTCTCCCTCTCCTGCAGGAGTGAGACTGCTCTATAGTTCCAGTCAATATTCCAAGCCCCCTGCCCTTCCGCCTAACAACCAAGGCAGAAAACACAAAAGAAGAAGAATATATTGAGACCAAAGTCAGCCCAGAAACCATGGTAGCCACATTCTAAGGGCCTCCTTCCGCTGTAAAGAACACTAGTTCGAAGGACTCCAAGGGGGTTCTCACTTTAAGTACTGCAGGATGCAAGGAATCATGTCTGCAAGCTGGTCCAGGGACGGGTACTGGTACCTAGGAAGGAAAGAATGTTGACGTTACCAGTTGGCCCCTTGTGCCTCCCCATCCTCTGCCAGAGCTCTCTCTGCCTCCCTCGCTCCCATCCTCTCTAGTGCAGTGCACTCCTGTTCACCAGCACGCCATCGTCTCTAGCGCACCCCCCGCACCTGCTTGTGCCGAGGGGTAAGGAACTAAGTCTTACCCCAAAGGGAACACAGGAGCCCCTTCTTCCATTCCAGGGGCATCCACATGAACCCGCACAAAGTTCTGGATGATTTCTTGCATATCCCCGAACTGAAACAGTGGCTGGAAGCAAGATTTATCTAGAAAGAATCCACATTCCCCGCAACAACAAAATCAGAAGGAAAATGCATCCTCAATTCACATTCCCTCCTCTTGCTCTGACACCAGCTAAGCAGGAGGAAAAATCCTCTCTGGTGCATCATACTGAGGAAGGCCCCCAGATACGCTGGGGTTTCCCCTCCCCTCTTTCCAGCAAAGAGAAGAAACGAATGTCTTACAGTTGAGTCCTACGTCATGGTAGGTGAAGATAGCTGGGCGTTTGGGTTTGGGGGTGCCATACACGGTAAAGGTGACGGAGCCATAAGGCGTCTCCACAGAGTGAGTCTGTAGAAAGAAAGGTCACCATCAGGGAGAACACACACTGAAGGTTTTCAAAAGGGGGAAGGCCAAAAGAAGACACGATTGATTGGTTAAGAACAGGATCAATGGGTTTTTAGGAAAAGGCTGACAGCAGAACTGGGTTGGAGGGCAGGAAATAATCACAGCCTGGAGATTAAGGAACTTAAAGAGAGAAAAGAAGGGAAGAGAAGAGGAAGATGGGGAATGGGGAAAATGTGCAAAGAGCCAGACTGGGACCCTCTCAGTATCGGGGAGAGAAGAGCAAGCCTCCCACCCGGCACTGTCCAGTTACCTGTCCCTGGTCCAGGAGGATTCGGGCAGCTAACTCGGCCTCCTGGAGAGACACACACAGACAGAGACACACAACCACAGAGTGACAAGCAGAGAGAGACACAAAGAGGCAGGTACAGAGAGACCAACAGAGACCAAACACAGAAAGGTTGACAAGAACAAGACAGGAGAGGATTGAGGTTAGTGACGAGACAAGGTCTGGGCTCCCTTTTGCAGCATCTAGGACAAGAGATGGGAAGAGGAGGGATGTGCATTTGAATGAGAGCCATGGAGCTAGGGAAGCCGGGAGGCAAGGGGGATTTGTCAGAGTATGGGACTGTGTGGCAGGGAAGCCAAAAAGTCACCATTAACCTTGGCAGTTTCAGGCGTTTGTCCTGGCAACAGTGGCTTCTCCTCAGTGATCTGCACCTCCTGCAGTTCTGCCATGGTGGCCTGGTGGGATAAGAAAACAATAAACCAGCCAGGCAGTGATGGTGCACGTCTTTAATCCCACCACTCAGAAGGCAGAGGCAGGTGAATCTCTGTGCAGTCAAGACTAGCCTTGTTTACAGAGTGAGTTTCAGGGCTATGCAGGGAAACCCTGTCTCAAAAAAAAAAAAAAAAGGAAAGAAGGAAGGGAAGCAGGGAGGGAGGGAAGGAAGGGGGAGAGAGAGGAGAGAGAGAGAAAGAGAGAGAGAGAGAGAGAGAGAGCGCCTGGAGGCTGCTCAAGCTCACCCCTCTACTCTCAGCCCAGGTCAGTACACCGGTACGCTTCCAGGGTACCGAGGAGAGCAGCAAAGGACAGCCGTCCCTTCGGACCACCAGCCCCGTTGCTGCCCCTTCCCCTCTAACAGTCACACCTCCCTCTTGAATGTTCCACAACACCCTCTCCTTTCGTGCAGGCAAACACCAGGGTGGGGAAGCAATGTGGTTCCAGTTTCTTAAGCTATATTTAGGGGCCACCCACACCCCTGCTGTAGCTCACTGACTGGGCACACTCTAAGTGTACCAAGGGATAGGATAGTGAGAGTTCACAATTGACTATGACCTTCAACTGTAGCTCCAATGCCAGCATCTTGAGGGGCTAAAAATGACTAAGGCAATGGCCAACTGGAAGGGGTCAACAGAGGACACAGATATCCAATCCAACCAACGCCTCACTTTCTCTGGCGGCTCAAAACCCTTCCCTTCCAAGTACAAGTAAATGAGCGTACATCAACACTGGAAGGTCTGGAGAGTCCTGGAGCACCCATACAGACTTACAAAGAAAGAAGCCTGGAGCTTGGGATGGGTGGGGTCAACTTACTGAGCTCCTATTGGTTGGGTGCGGTGAGGCTAGAGGTCAGGGTTCTTGGTCCTGACTCTGGGGTCTGAGAAAACACACGAAGGTGAATGACATGGGAGACAGACTTCGGTCTTTTAGGGACATACCTCCACAGCCAAGACCCAGACTCCCAGGGTCACTAACCCTCCCTAATCTCCACTGAGTCCAGAGAACACGTCCTCTCTAGGCGTCGATCAATACAAGCTGGAGGGGCCTGCGGGGCAACACAGGCAGGGTACGGAGGGAAGGGAGCAGTGACGTGGGGACAGAGCATGACTGTGTCAGAACCTTTGGGTCCTACCCCACTGCCACTTCCATGTGACCTTGTCCGGTCGGCTACTACTCAGTTTGGACAGCTTTTAGTTGATATGTAAGTAGTTCAGAATGACGTTTTCCTCCACCATTTAAAAACAAACAAGTCATGCCTTCGTCTCTCTTCTCCACCCAATCTAACTGGAGGTCTAGTGGAGAAAGCCAAGGGGGGAATAGGGCGGTCACCGTAACCTCTCGACTTCCCTGACTGCATGTGCCAGCCGGGAAAGTATGGGTAGCACCTGTGACTGGCCGCTCCCTGAACCCGAAACCTGGCCCTATGGAGTCCCTGGCAGCTGGCCCTCGTCAGGACCAACACTCTCGCACGGCCGACACGTAGCACCCAGGACCTGGACACCATCTCAAGAGCGCCCCAAACACATCCTGCACTTTGTAGCGCCTCCGCCTTTGTGCGCAGCAGCGGAGCGTCTCTCTAGGCCGGTCCCTTCCCCGGAGCGCAGCCCGGGCACCAGGACCACAATGCCCACCCTCCCGGCCCGCGCCTTCCCAGCCCAGCGCTCGCCCCTCCCCCTACCTGCTCCAGCCGCCGCGGACGCTGCCACCTTCACTTGCCTTTGACTTAGGTCCGCCCTAGCTTCGGCTCCTCACAGACCCGCCCCTAGTCCGCCCCTGGGCCAATTCCCTACAGATCCGCCCCGACCCCCATAAACACGCCCCGGTACCTCGCCACGGCCGCTCGGGGAAGGGCGAGAGGGGAAGGCTAGGGAGCACCCTGTGGGGGATGCTCATAGGGTCTCCTCCCGGTGCTCCCCACAACCCCGAGCCGCCGCGGGAAGTGGGTGTGCGCAGGGACCCCTTAAGCCTCCAAATGACCCCCACGCCCACCTCAGCGGCGCCCCCTACTGTGACCTGGCTCTGCCAGGCTCGCTTTTGGCTCTCTTCCCAGACCCCCAGATTGAGTGGCAGCGACGATAGAGAGGGGAGGCCAACCCAAAGTGCCCAAGTCCCACGATTTCAGCTCCGCCCGCCCGGAAGCAGAGAGCTAGGTCAAGGAAAGGGGGAGGTGGGCGAGGGCCACCGCTCAGACCCGGTCCCCGGGCAGGTAGGGGCAGTGGTGCCAGCGTGTCTGGGGACAGGGCGTCGAGGGCGCAAGAATTCCGAGCGCATGGGGTGCTGGTACCTCCTCAGCCGAGTCCCGTCGCCTGCTCTCTGGCCGCTCTGTGAGAAGTTGGACAACAAGCAGGGGGGGGGGTGTGGAAATGCTGGGGGCCGCTATAAATAGAGGGTGAACGAAGGAGGGGGGATATGGTGGCCAACGGCGACTCCCGGGTCAAGGTCCCAACGCGGGGGAGTGGAGTGGGCGTAGGGGAGGGGCTGGGGACCCCCAAGGGCTCTGACTCCTGTGTAAACAGGCGCGGGGGAGGAGCTAACCCTGCATGGGTGGAGTAAGGGTTTGGGGAGGACTCACTGTCCTCGGCTGAGACCCAAGAGACCCTGTGGCTGAGTTGCTAACCCCTCCCAGTCCAACCCCGAAAAAGAGGGCGAGATCTGCTCAGAAAGGCTGAGTGGCAGTGCCCCGTTGTAGATGTCTCCTGAACTGCTGGCTCCTGGGCCGACTCTCATGTCTAGGTGGGGTTATCATCCTATCCTAGGCTTTCACAAGATTCACATCTGAGACACACCCTCCTTGTGATCTTCAAAGGAAGGCTTGCTATAGTGGAATAGTTGATGTGGCCGTGGGGAGAAAGTTGTGTTAGGCAGCTAGATTGAGTTTCTCCACAAGTCCTCATTCTCGCACCCCTGCTCCCAGGATCAAGCCTACCCCACCCCCCTTCAGCCCAGTTCCAGACTTGCCGTTTCGGGGGCTGGGCGCCAGGCCAGTTGAAAACAATGTCCAATGGAACTGGAGCTGCCAACGGCAACACCAGCACAGACTGCTCTCCCCAAGACCCCCAAATTGCCCTCCCCCGTGCCTGGGAACTACCCTCACCACCCACAGCCCCCCTCCCCAAGAAGCATCAATGCCCCTTTCATCCCCACTTGGCAGGTCTGTTGGAAAGAAGGAGAAGCCAAGAGGGAGGAGGAGACCTGGGTAGGCTCAAACGCAGCCTTCAAAAAAACACCCTAGACCTATAGTTTCCTATATCCCCCGAATGGCGCCTCGAGTTTTCATCTGTTCTTTTCTCCTGCTCCCTTCATAAGAATTGCCCTAGAAACTGGCACAGAAACCTAGCAATCCAGCTTTCTGCCTAGCCCCTGTGTGCAGGTTTCATGCTCTCCTGGACAAGAGAAAGGGCACAGCTACAGATGGGTAAGATAGGAAAGGACTCGACAGTCCGTGTGATGGACTGAGGACTTCTTTCACGTGTCTAAAGTAGCTGTACTTGGAGAGGGGGAGGAGGGATAGACTGGAAGGTTCCAGCATCTAAATTCGTCTCTGGGTCAGAATGACTCAGGGGGAACCTGATAAGGGGCAAACACAGGGGCTTGGGGAGGGCAGAAGGTGGGAAGTTTCCACTGAGATTGGCTATTTGCTGGACCTAGGGGTCTCTGATTACACAAAGAAGGCTGGTTCTGTTCTGCCCCAGAGTTCTTTACTGTCAGGGCAGGTTCAAGACAGACATGAGTGCAAGTGTCCCATATGGACATGATCTGACCTCCCTTCTCTGGGCCAAAAGCAGCGTCAAACTACCTGACAATGTCCAGCACTCGCAGCATGAGAACCACCAGATAGATGACATTCAGAAAAGTGCTGTGTTTCAGTCAGCTTGTGGTCCAGTGATTGAGCAAGCACATAAATACAGAGAAAGCTAGGGGAACTAGAAATAAGACCAATGTATAGAGAACAAGTCTTAGAGCAGCCCCCACTGAGTCTCCACGGAAGAAAAGGATTTTCCTTTCCGCAGGGTGATTTTGGTCAGCTGTGATGACAAAAGAACAAATTAGAAATCAAGAAATACTTAAAATAATGTTTGCAGTACTCTGACAGTCAAATGTGCACTAGCAAAGCATATTGTTTAGTGTTCACACTTAATCTTTCAGGGTCCCTGGCCGTACTTCTGGAACCTGCACCCCAGGAGGCTGGAGCCCACAGGCTAAAAGCCATGTTTCTATAATTCAGAAGAATGGGGTTTTGTTACTAGGGTGGACCATCCACATGAGAAGTGGGATATTTGAGTGGGAGAAAAGGACGTTTTATTCAGGCAGAGAGCAGAAGAGAAGGTATAGGCAGAGATGCAAGAGCGACCCTGAAGAGTTTCAGAGCAGGTAGTACGTGTAATCCCAGCGCTCCATTGATGTCCTTAGCCATACAGATGTGGGAACTGAAGCCCAGAAATGTTCATGACTTGCTCATGCCCACCAGCTGGAACACAGTTAGGACTTGAATCCAGACTCATTCCCCTCCAGGGACTGTCTCTTCCCAACAGGTAACCTCTTGAGTGTATAACTATTATGCCATGAGGGCCCTGACTAAAAGCAGTGTTAGTGACAGGCAGAAGACACTTGGTGAGTTAGGCTGGGGCCAAGTTGTGTCCTTGAAGGCTAAGCAAAAAGATTTGGCAGTAAGAACCACAGGTTATGCATTTTCGAAAAGATGTTTATTTTTGTTTCTGTGTCAGAGTGTGAGTGTATATGTGGGGATGCAATGGCCATGAAGGCATCGGGTCTCACTGGAGCTGGAATCTTAGCTGCCTGATATGGGTGCTAGGAATTACACCCAGGTCCTCTGTAAGAGCCTTGTATGTTCTTAACCACTGAACCATCTCTCCAGTCCTGAGTCTTGAGTCATAGCATAGTCATTCTGTGAGACAGGGTATCAGGTATTCTCACACTAGCCACGTGTCTAAGACTGGCCTTGAACTCATCCCCTGACTTGGCCTCCAGAGTTCTGTGATTACAGACGCATCACAGGTCATAATCTGCTCTTGAACAGGAATAGCGGATAGAAAATCCTGTTTGGAGAACATGGCACTAATGGAAAGGGGCAATAGAGCTAGTTTGGGGGGTAGAAAGGAGCAAAGCCTCAGAGAAGAGGCCCACATCATTCTCAGGATGTGAAGTAAAAAAGACTTGGACCTGGAGAGAGAGCTCAGTGGTCACAAGGCCTACCTGCTCTTCCAGAGGACCTAGGGGTCCTGGGGGGTTGATCCCAAGCACCTACATGGCAGCTCTTGACTGTCTGTAACCTTAGGTACAGGGGATCTGATGCCTTCCTGATACCCTCTTCTGGCCTCCATGGGCACGGCCCACACATGTTACAGAGACATACATGTTTGCGGTACAATTGTACACATAAAATGAATTTGAAAAAGTCTTGAATAAGGATGTTTGTTTACTTATAAGACAGGCTGGCTTTGAACTCAGAGATTAGCCTACCTCAACTTCCTAAGTGCTGGGATTAAAGGTGTGTGTCACCATCGCTGGCGCCACCACCACCCACCCCGCTCCCAACAGTAATGAATTTATAAGATTATAAACTGTTTATGGGAATTATAGGAAACTATAGGAATTTATAGGAAAATAGGGCCTGATTACCTAAGACAAGAAAGTGACCGATCTCTGCAACGGGATCCCGGAATCTCATCTCTTATAGAGCGCTTGTCCAGAAAGAAACCACGAAGGCACATTTGGAGCTGCTCAGAAGCTCCTCTGGGGTTTTGAGAGCTTAAGGCTTACCCTCCACCACATTCCACACTACTTTTATACAGATTGCTTCTACTTCAGGTCCTCAGCTTTTCCCCTCCTGAGCCAACAGTAGATGTGCTTTATAACCCCTGCTGGGTTGTTTTTCTGCACTCAGGGGGATTCTGCATGCTGGCCAGTACTCTTGGGAGATCAGCCAGGAGGGCAGTGTTAACTCCAGCCGGCCTGTGCTTCAGTGTTTGGGGCTCCCCATAATGTACATGCTAAAATCTTGCCTCCCTACATGATAGTATTGAGAAGTGGGACTTGGGGGGTTCATGACAAGGTTTCAGGAATCAGATCCTTTACAGGCCAAGGGAGTTCTACCACCCAAAGACATAGTGAGGCCAGAACCCATAAGGTTAGTAAACTGGGCTGATGTGATTAGGGGCATTTGGTCATCTGAAAACGCCAACAGGCTGACATCCATGATTCCACAGTCATTACACAGCTTGACATTCTTGTTCATTCTGATGCCGTGGCTGGACAACTGATGTCATGTAACACTGTGACATCACAGTGTCCTTTTCTGCTGTCTCCCTGTTACCACACCTTCTCCCCCGTCATCTGGTTCCCATAATAGCTGCACACACTTGAACACAAGATCACAGACACCATCTGGGCACCCAGGTATGCCCAAGTGGGAGGGAGGGAGGATTGCCAATGCACAGGAGTGCCTGGGAGGGAAGGCTCCTGCTGTAACCACAGCAGAGGGGTGGAAAGGTGAGGAGGCTGGAGAGCAACAGGGATGGAGACGATTGTTCCTGGTCCCTCACTCCCCAGTCCCCTCCCCTACTGTCTGCCCCCACCACCACCTGCAGTCAACCATGGCCTCAGAAGCAGAAAGAACATTCCATCGGTTTGCTGTCTTTGGAGACTCATCGAGCAGTGGTACTGAGATTAACAACAAGAACTTCTCCAAACTCTGTAAAGACTGTGGCATCATGGACGGCAAGGCGGTGACCTCCACAGACGTGGACATTGTGTTCAGCAAAGTAAAGTAAGGAGCCAAAGGTGGGGGTGAAGTGAAAACATAGTTGGTCACGGTACGGTTCTTCTTGTCGTGTTTTGGGTTTGTTGTTACTTGAGACAGGGTTTCTCTGTGTAGCTCTGGCTGTCTTGGAACTGACTCTGTAGACCAGACTGGCCTTGAACTCAGAGATCTGCCTGCCTCTGCCTCCTGAGTGCTGGGATTAAAGACATGCACCACCACTGCCCAGCCAGATGGTCTTATGATGGAAGATTTCTAAGGAGTGCCTGGCAGGTACCAGTCACTGTCCTGGTCCCTGTCCTCAAGATTCATTGTCAGGATAAAGAGGCCATGCCTAAGAACAAGGTAGACGTTGGGAGGCAATGACTTCACACTCCACAGTTACTGGGTTTCTGTCTGACTGGCCAGGGCCAAGAATGCCAGAACCATCAACTTCCAACAGTTTCAAGAGGCGATGAAGGAGCTGGGCCAAAAGCGGTTCAAGGGGAAGAGCGTAGATGAGGCTTTGGAGGGCGTTTATAAACTCATGGAAGGCAAGGACCCTGCTACCACTGGTGTCACTGTGAGTGATGGTCTCCATTTTGTGTCTGTCCTTCCTTCCTCCCTTTCTTCCTTCTTCCCTTCCTCCTTCCCTCCTCCCCTCCCTCCCTCCATCCCTTCTTGTCTGTCTGTCTGTCTGTCTTTTTATAGCAGGACCGTACTGCTAGCTTAGACTAGCCTGAAACTGGCCTTAAGGTCTTGATACTTAGCTTCCCTAGTGCTAGGGTTCCAGGTGAATGCTGCCACAGCTCCCTTAATGGTAGCATTTTTCCTCTCCAGCCCAGAGCCCCAGTTCCCTAGACTCCACTGCTCTGGCCTCGGCTCCCATTCAATGCCCCAAATCCTGTCAGCAGTGTGGCTCAGGATACAGAGTGGAAAGCCTCTACTGGAAGACTTTAGACCGTTGTCATCATTCTGGGAGTGGGAGAACTGTGGCGTGGAAAGACAGACTTGCTCTGGCTCCTACTGGCGCTTCCAGCTGCACCCTTAGCCATGGCATAGCTATTTCACTAGTGATGTTCAGACTCACTCTCAAGTCTCATGTCTGGTCTAGACACCTCAGCATTCTGTGACTTTGTAGGCACATTAGCATTGGAGGAACTTGGTGCCTGCTCCCCCAGTTCTGTTCCTACATATTTTAATCTCAGACCTCCCTCCTCTCACCCCTCTTCTTCCTAAATTATTTCCTCTGTACAAATAGTGCTTTCAGCTCTGCACACTGGGGACAGGGCTTGGGACTGAAGCCTTCTGGCAGTAGCCTGATCAGAATAACTCCTCTGGACACAGAGAAATCCGCTGACCTTTCCGGCGGCAGAATCCTCCTGTCTCGTGAGTAGATAGCTCTGTCAGAGCTCCTGCCCACAGCTGTGTCTGGGCCTCAGAAAGCAGCACCGTGCCAGAGGCAGGACGCGCACTCCAGCATGTGCTCGAAGGTTCTAAGACCATGTGGGGAAGGGCTGCAATACACAGGGAGAGGAAGAAGGCTCAGACTCCCCCTCCTTCCCCTGTTGCAGAAAGCAACAACCGTGGGTGGAGTAGACCGTCTGACGGACACCAGTAAGTACACGGGCACCCACAAGGAGCGCTTTGACGAGAGTGGCAAGGGTAAGGGCATCGAGGGACGGGAAGAGACCACAGACAACTCAGGCTATGTGAGTGGCTACAAGGGGGCTGGCACCTATGACCAAAAAAACAAGTAGAGAAGAGCTGTCTTCGCCCGCTAGCTTCCTGACCCCATGTTTCTAACACCAGGAAATAATAAACTTTGTGTGTGCAGCAGCTAGTGAGTTCTGTCTCATGAGTACGAGGACCAGATTGGTCCATAGACAGAGAAGCGGGAAAGAGAATGCCCACGAAGCCAGAGGTTTCAACCAATCCTCTTCCCTACTAAGCCCCATGCATACCAACCATAATGAAGTAGTCTCCTTGGCAACCGCTCTTGAGAACAAGGACTAGGGAATACATTTGGAGATGAGTTACATCAGATGCAGAAGAAGAAAAAAATCGCTTACTGTGATCACACATCAGTGGCCCCCATTCCTTCTACCTCCCCAAAGGGAGTATAGTTTGACTTACCATGTCCCAGATAATCACTGGGAGCCTTTAATGTGCCTCCCAACTTGCTCGTCTGTTAGAATCCAGGTTTTGTTGGGAGATAGATAAAAACCAGGAAGGGAAGCCTAACACTGTTATAAATCACAAATCTCTTTCTCTTTGTTTGCTTGTTTGTTTGATCTGGTTTTGGGGACAGGGTCTCACTTATGAAGCCCTAGCTGGCTTGGATGCCCGGAACTCTAGATCAGGCTGACCTTGAACTCACAGCATGAAGGACTTCACTTGCCCCCAACTCCATAGTCCTTCCGACAGAACAGTTGTGAAGGGTGGCCAGAGGTGGTGACACCAAAAGCAAGGAGGGAATTGAATCACAATGGAGTTGAATGTGTTTTTTTTAACTTTTTATTTGGAAATTATTACAGCTTCACAAGAAGGCAATGCAGAAAGGAGCTCATGAGCCTTGTGCCCAATTTCTCCCAGTGGTTTTTCCACAACTGGAAACTGGGTCTGCCTCTTCATCTGCCACCTGAGTGGCACAGACCCCAGAGTCTGGGAAATGTTGGGTAGAGATGAGGGCAGGGAAAGGGGACCGAGAGACTTTGGGAAGAACAGAAAAGAGAACTTGAAAAGACTGGTGGACCAAGGTGAAAGAAGGTGGGAGGCAGAGTCTGGGATAAGGTAGGCAGCATGGCTACCAGTGGGCCAGTGGTCGGAAGAACAGGGAGACAACACTGGGCTCCACGGTGGGAGGAGGTGGGGAGGGGAAGATCACAGAGAGAGGGGGCTGGGAGCAGAGTGAGATAGTGAGCCTAGGGGTCGTCCGGAGGCTCCCAGGAGCGCAGGAATTATAAGGGAAGTGGGGGAGGCTGACACTAGAAACAGGAATAGAGAGAAATACTGGGACTGGGTGCCTGTTGCTATGGCAGGAGTTGGGGCCTGGGCCTCCATCCAGAAGTCGGGATCTGGCCCAGTAGACGGACAAGCTCTGCCAGCTGGACACCGGCAGCTTCTTGGGTGGGTTTCACTGCTGCTGGGCGAGGGAGGCTCATAGTGGGGGTGATGAGAAGGTGCAAAGAGCCTGGAGGAGGGCGGGGATCTGCCTCAGAAGGGAACAGGCTTTGGGGTGGCATGTACAGGCCCGTCGGAGGTGGGACTGCTTGGCAAGCCTAGTAGAGGCCAATGATGCCTATCGGTTCAGCATTTTGCTTGCTGGAACAGAGCAAGTACAGCCTCTGGTTGGTCAGGGTGCTGTTGTAGCTGCAGCTGGTTGGCGGCTGTTTGGAACCCAGGGTGCAGATGGTGATGGGGAAGGAGTTCTGAGTGAGCGTGCAGTACTCATTGAAGTTCTCGCAGAAGTTCTCGCTGTTTCTGCAGAACTTTTGAATGCCTTCCCAGGGGGCATGGACCACGTAGTGGATCTTAGGGCAATACCAGTCCTGCATTCTGCCCCTCACATAGGCCATGAGCCCGTTACAGTACCCGTGGAAACCCTTCGGGTAGTTAATCCTGGGGTAGTCAACGTGTAAGGTGCGGAAGTTCTTGATGGCGATCTCCATCTTGATGCCTGTCACCAGAGTTGGACGTAGGACAAGCTGGAGGCAAAGGAGCCAGACCCCGTCTCGTGCCATGCCTTCTGCTGGCAGAGTTACTGTAATGAGAGGTACGTTAGGCCCGAAGAGACTGTCCACCCTTCCCAGAGCTTCCAGTATTCTCCAGTTTCCTCTTTGGGCCTCCCTTATTCTGGAAGAACTGCTCAGTAACTTACAGATCCTGTAAGACGAGGAACTTGCTCAAGGCCCCCACTCCTCCGTCTCCAGCCAGCCGTTCTCCCCGGTGGTGCACCACTGAGTCTGTCTCACCCAGTCCTTGGGCTGCTACGCAGAGTGAGAAAAGCTTCTGAATGTTCCTTGTTTCCTGGCACTCCTTACGGTAAATACAGGAGTGGAGAGTCTGCCTGTCTCTGATAGCGCTGCAGGCAGAAACTGAAGTCAGAGGAGTGGGAGGCAGGGGTGCATCCTGCCTAAGGCCACTTACAGCCTAAAGGTGGGATGAGACTGGAAAAGTTTCTGGATAGCGTCTGGAAAAGGGGACTGTCCCCTGGGTTTGAGAAGCCCTGTGCTAAGTATATGAGTAGGAGGAAAGACATACTGCTGTCTGACCTCATCTTTGATGTTTTCAGAACACTTAGTTCCAACCTCCTGGCCAGAAACCCTAAATCCCTGGGCCTTCTTTGATGCTTGCTCTGGCCCACTGGTCCTGCTTTCAGCAAAGTAGGAAGGAAAGAAACATCTTGTTGCTGAAGAATGAAGTGTTTACCTTTGATCAAGGCATCACCAACGTCTCATCCCACTTACAAGCCCTGGGGGCCATGGGCATGGGCACCTCCCACCAAAATGACCAAGAACAAAGAGCCTTTGCAAGTGCCAACACCCTGCACCTGTGACCCGAGGCCTCTGAAGCCTCGGGTTGGCTCTGAGAGTGCGGCCAGGGATTTGACAGAATGTGAACCACTGGGCCAGGTCAGATTCTTAGTATTGGCTGCTTCATGGTAGCTTGTCCTGCAGAGGAAAGGGGTTGTTATCTATCGGGTGTCTGGATCTTCTTCAGAGTCAAGAAGCTAGCTCCAAGGACCTGCTAGCTCTAGCCCTGCCTCCCAACGACCTTACAGCCTCTTCTCCCTGCAGATCTTCTGCACATTTGCACTTTCGGGGGCTTTATTTGGTGATGGGGGTCTCACTATGTAGCCTAGGCTGGTCTCAGATTGGTTATCCTCCTGTCTCAGCCCCTTGAGTGCTGGAATCTGGAAACACAGGCATGTACCACCCACCCTGCTTCCTGGGCTTGCTCTCAGGAGAACCTCTTCACCTTCAGCAGTAGCTGAAGGGAGTCAGAAAGACCGGGCACTCTGGGGTACCCTGTGGAGCTCAGGGGAAGGAGGAGTTTGTCCCAGAGAGCAACAGCTTGGGTCTCTCTGTGGTCCTTCATTTGCAGCCTCCTCTGGATTTGCTCTTCCCAGCTGCACAAACAAGATTCCAAAATTAAATCTGTTCTCAAACTTGGTTCTCTTGTGTCTGCCTTTATTCCCCTGCTGCTATGGTAAGAGACTGACAAGAGCTGCTTCAGGGAACAGGGTTTATTCTGGTTCACTTATCAAGAAGAGCCCTTCGGGGTGGGGAAGTCAAGGCAGCTGGTCACAAAGAATCCAGTCAGGAAGCAGATATAAATGAACACTGGCTGCTGCCTAACGCCCTTCTTCATTCATACAGCCCAGGACCCCAGTCAAGAAACAGTGCTGCCCACAGGGACTGGGTTTCCCACCGCAATTAATGCAATCAGGATCGTGCCCCAAAGATGTGCACAGAATCCCATCTCCCCGGTGATGCCAGAATCTGTCGAGTTGACCTTATATACTTCCTTAGTCTTCAGTGATAGGCTCCTCTCTCGCCCTCACCATCAACCGCAAGGCATGATGGTAAAATCAAGACTCACGTCTGGCTCCATAGTTTATAAGGCATATGCCATCACTTGAGTTTACCAAGCTTGTAAGGATAGGACCTTTTACCTCATGGTGTATTAGAACTCATTACGATGTCAATCATGAGCTTTTGCCTAGTGCCTGGCTTGTGACTACTCAGTAATGCACATGAACCCATAAGCCATGTAGCCCTCAGGATCTTTACCTAAAACTCTCCCCAAATCTGTCCTTCCCGAGCCTCCTCCTTTCCCAGCTCAGTCTCTCCTTTTACATAGACACCATGCTCTGATTCCACGAAGTCTCAACTGCCTTTAATTCAACATCTAAAAAAGAAATTACTTCCCACGGGGCTGGAGAGACAGCTCAGCAGGCAAGAGGATCCGAGTCCGTTCTCAGCACTCCCACGGTGGCTCACAACCACCACAATTCCAGTTCCAGGGCATCTGCTACACTCTTCTGGCCTCGGGGTCTGATGCAACATCTCTGGCCTCATCACCAGGGATACAGGTGATGTATATATATATTTGTCCAAGCAAAATACTTGTATATATTAAAAATAAAACCTTAAAATGTCCTGTTTTGTTTAACCCTTCAGATCAGTTTCCTGTTTCTTACACTATATAATCTAGTCAGCTCCTCATAGGACATAAGACTGTCAGGATCTTGCTCTTGTGCATGTCTGTGTGTGTGCATACATCCCTGCCAGCTCCCCGTCTTGTACTGCGTCCCACACCTGTGCCCTTTACTCAGAATGTTGCCGATCTTCCATATTGAGTTCATATGAGGACAGACCTGGGGTCTCACCACAGAATTCTCAGCTTAGAAGACCTCCCCTGAGGGTTATGCACAATTCAGACAAGTAAGGGTCAGGTCCACAGAGGCACGTGGCTGTCCTTGAGGCTGCAGGATGGTGCCTAAGCCTGGCCATAGCTGTGTTTTGAGGACCTCGACAGAGTCTATGGTCCCGGTTTTGGCCATGCCGCCGCACCCAGCCTCCCTCCAGGCTGCAGTTGGAGCTGTTTATCAGTCTCTTCATCCTCATCACCACTTGCTAGTTCCTCCACCCACCGTCACTTGCCCTGCACATAGGATTCCAAATGCTGACTGACAGCACAGTATAGCAGAAGGGGTCCACGTGTGGACAACGGCATCCACATAAAGCCTGGGGTCCACACACCGGCTCTCGGCTCATCTTCCGTGAGGTGAGACACCTCCCTTAGTTCAGAAAGCTGTGAGAATAATGTGTTGTAATAAGTGTGAAATGTCTTTTAATTATTAAATAGTGTGCAGATAGGTAACTTGAAACATGTCTCTTAGGTTCTACGTCAATTCAGAGCCTCATTTATTCCCTAATGGCAAATACAGATCCCTGCACCCCCCCAACCCAGAGTCCCCTCGAAACCCAGCCTCTGGGACTCATCTCCACAAAGCCTCCAGTGATCACTACAACAGAATTTTTAAAAATGGTTTAATTTATTCCTTGGTGATTTTGTACATGTATTTACATGATTCTTCTCCAACTTCTCCCAGACCACCTTTGCCTTCTCCCATCTTAGTGTCCTTTAAAATTAATCTACCAAATCCAATTAGTGCTGCTCTCGCATGGGTGCAGGGATATTTGGACCATGGGCACCCTACCAGGGGATAGCTGCTAGAAGACTGACTGCCCCCAGCAACCAACTGCCGAAGGTTCCTCAGTACCGGGTGGGGCTTCGCAAGCCCCTTCTCCTTCACACTGGAAGCGTGGCTGCCTTGAGCAGCCGCTGCTATTGTGAGAGCAGCAGCCCTGTCCGCCTGCTGGGATAGCATCTCCTATAGTATATCCACTCTCCTCCTCGATGGTCCCTAGCCTTCCAGGGAGGACGTTAGTGGGTGAATCCAGACTTCTGATGATCGATAGTCGGAGAGAAAACAAACATGTACGAAAAATAACCACAATCCAGGCAGAAATCTGATTTATTATTATTATGATGATGATGATGGTTTTATACAGTCTTTGAGTTATTGTCCCTCTATTATGTATGTAGCTCTGGCTGTCCTGGAACTCATTATGTAAATCAAACTGGCCTGGAACTCAGAAATCCACCTACCTCTGCCTCCGAGTGCCTGCATAATTTCTTTTCTTTTTTAAGGTTAACTTTTTGTTATTTTTAAAATGATGTGTAGGTGTGTGTGTATAGAGGTATGTGCACATGCGTGCATAGGTCTCCATGGAGGCCAGAGAAATAGAATCCCCCGGAGTTGGAGTTACAAGCAGTTGTAAGTCCCCTGATGTAGATACTAGGAACTGAACTCAGGTCCTCTGGAAGAGTAGCAAGTGCTCTTAACCGCTAAGCCATCTCTCCAGCCCCCCAAAAGACAGTAAATATTACAGAATGCAGAGATGAGAAAGTCCTCACCGCTGGCAGCTGGAGACGTATCTCAGTTGGCAGCATGTTCCAGTCTCAGGCTTGATTCTGAGCGTTGGTTGCAGTGGGACACAACTGAAACCCCAGTACTGGGAGGTTGAAGCAGGAAGATCAGGAGTTCAAGGGCACCCTCAGCTACCCAGCAAGATCCAAGCCAGCCTAGGTTACACTAAATTCTGTCTCAAAAAAAAAAAAAAAATCAAAACCAAAATTATCTCTGAATTGGGAGGATATGAAAAGTCCTCCTGAGGAGGGAGGTGGTTCCCCTGGGCACCCTGGGCTGGTGGAGGTGAAACAGCATGAATACTATATTACCAATATCATGTCTGCCCGTGGCTAGGACACTAAGTGGGAGAAAAGTCAGACACAAAGCTAGAGAGGCAGGTCTGCCAGACGGTGATAGACTTGAGTAGGGCTAAAGAACTAATTCTGGATATAACTAAGGCTTGTGGCACTGGAAAGGGCTTAGGGCACCGACCAAGCTGATAACCTCGCCCTAAGACCAGCTCCTCCTAGCTTCTCTAAAGGTCTGGGAGGCAAGGATTCTAACCTTCGGTCAGGGCTGCCTCCTGCAAACCCACAGCTGTTCCAGGAAAGGTCATGGGAATCCAGAGACCCGAAGAGAGTCCACAACTGACCCCAGCTTTGCAGTGCGTCTCACTTTCTCCAAATATAAAACGAGCCTCTTGCCCTTATTTACCCAGGATCTACATCAGGCTGACAGAACTTGGATCTGCTCCTGGCTGAAGGGAAACACTCTCCCACGGGCTTTCCAGTGGTATCGAGAGGCTGTGTGGAACTCCGGAAGAAAGGCTTGGCTCGGAGGGTAGGCACTCATCCAAGTCCAGCCTCCCTCTCCCCACCCCGAGCTCCCTCCCAGTGCAGGCTGGAGGAAGCAGCAGCTGTTGTCCTGTAGGGAACACAGGCAACGATCCACCTGGCACTGCTGGGATTTTCATAACACCCACCCGGCCGGGGTGGAGGCTCTGCCTTCTCCCCTTCCTCCTGTGGTCCGCATTCTCTCGTCTTTCCCTCCTTTTGCCATGAACGTAATGAACATAAAGTGGCAAACTATCCTACCGAGTGCAAAACGAAGCCAACCTCACCAGTCGGATAGTGTAGGCCAATAAAGCCAAATCCAAGTAACAAAGAATTCAACCTGAATTGTATAGACTGTAGGACTCTACTTTCCTACTTCAACTTCTGTGTGCGACTTGAAGCTCCACCCCATTCCCCTTTGACCTGAGATGGTAGAGCCTTGTTGGTCTCCTTGGCACCCAATAGGAAGGCAGCCTCTGGGAAGCCCAGAGCTGCTGAGTTGGTAGCGGATAGGTATTAACGGTGACGGTGCCAGAAAACAGCGCGGTTCAGGTCATGGTTTGGAAGCACCACACTTTCAGGGGACTCTAAGCAAAGAATGTTAATGAGCTTACAGCCTCCTGCTCCCTCCTGCCCCCCCCCCCCAGCATGCACTCCCAGGGGCAGAACTGGACTGAACTGACATGATTTTGGCCCATGGCGTACTTTAAAACATGGGTTCTGGGACTCTGTGTAAAGGCATGTGTCAGCATCCTGCCAGCCTGAGTTCAGCCCCTGGTACCCACATGGAAGGAGAGAAATGACACTACAGCTCGTCTTCACCTCACTGCTCTCTCTTTCTCCTTCGTCCTTTCTGCTATCATTTCCCCTTCCCCTCTCTCAATAAGTGTAAGAAAAGAAAATGCAGATTCTGTTTGTGTACTTGCGCACACGCACACACATACACAGTCACGTGACACGTGCCTGTGTCTCTACAGCATCGTGGTGTCATACTCTATCCGGAAGTCCTGAAGCTCAACAGAAGAGAACCTCTCTCTCTCTGTCTCTCT